TGCGTAACGCAACCAGAAGTCTTCAGAAAAATGAAGGTACAAACAACATATTGTTTATCAGTATAAAGGGGAAAAACGTATTAGTCACAACTCTTCTTTTATTTGCTGGTTTGAAGAGGAATCCAGGAGCTTGGAGGAAACATTTAAACGCCGTCTACCACTGTACAACAAATGATGGAACAGAGAATTCACTCTGGAAAAGGAATGAATAAGGTTTGCTCTGGCTAGTCAAGGTAATAATAGCTGTGTCGGCTGTTCTGTGTTTTATGACAAAGAAAGATTTATATGTGCGTTTTACACTTTTCGGGTCGGTATAATCGCTTGCTTTTCTCACTCCTGTGGTGGCAACTGATTCCGGTTCGCCGTCGATTTTTGGAGGAATAATTTTCTCACTCCTGATTGCTTGGTTTGCATATTTTTATCTGACCCCCTCTCTGTAAGGATACTGTATAGCTCCCTTCCCTTCCCTCCCCTCGACCTCCGCCTTAATGGGGAACTCCTTTACATTCACGCCTGCATTCATATTCACGAAATATCCGCGTGTCTTCACTTAGAAGATATTTCGTGAATTACATTGAAATCTTTCATGCTACTCAATCGTTGACAGAACTCCAATAAAAACACAATTTGTTCTTGTCTGATAACCTTGTCAAGTTCTTTGGCCTTGCGATAGACGACGAAATAATTTTATAATGTTCTCTGACACTTCTCCCTTTTTTTCCGCCCCAAAAGCTGTGGGTAAAACTTAGCATATCCGGTTAGCCTAAGCAGAATTTCTTTGCCACGTGAACTCTTTACTCTTTACTTTGGAGACCTCCAGAAATGTATTTTGTTGTTGTTGTTATTGTTGTTCTTGTCTCTTGTATCTTTAAAATAATATTTCCACATGTTTTAATGGTCATGACTCTATTGCATGTTTAAACAAATAAACATAGGGCTTCAAGCAGTCTCATCAATCAACGGCACAACACAAACGTTTACTCAGGATCTCGCTCCATCAGACGGACAGATGGAACCACACCGGCATCAGAAATATGCGGCGGAAAAGCGATAGTATCCTAGGGTATTGAATTCCAAAACGTTTCAGCTCTTTTTCATGTTGTGTGCCAGCCAGAAGCTTTGTGACATCCAAGATAAACTCAGGTAAAGACAGTGTTTTTTCTTAGTAATGTCCCATTATAAACCATTCATTATCTCTATACACCATTTTGACATTTAGGTTCTCACTTTGGGTGCACAAGGCCCAAAAAAGAGCAACATAGTCGTCAAGCATGTGGAGAACGCTCAAGCTTGTTTTGTTGCTCGTGATGTGTTTAACCGCCATCAGTTTTTCGAAGAAGTCAAAGAAGAGAAAAAGTAAGTCGCTTCATAAACAATATTTTTATAGTACGCCTTACTTTCCAGTTCAAGATCTGTGATTTCTCTGATTTCTATCCTTGAAAACGAACCGCCTTATTGTCGTTTTACATTGCATACTATTTGGTAATACTAACCAAGGCGCCCCAACGCGTGACAAAGAAGTGCCCTATGTGTCCACAATCAATTGGGAAATTCATTTCATTGTTTCCAAAACCGCAAAAATCGAATTATTAGCTAATAGACTTATATTACATTTCAGCACCTCATAAATACACTTTTTCATTCATTCTCTTTTAATAATACAAGTCGACTTCAAAATTACAGGGAAAGGAAATTGTAACTAAAAAAAGCTGGTCAACTTACAATTGGATCATAAACTTTTGCTTAAAGAATTTGGTTTTATTAGTGCCTTTTGAAAAGAAGTCTTACTGTCCTGTACTGGACTGACAGACAGTGAGATAAGGTAATAACCCAATTGTGAAAGTCGAAAGTCGTCATGTTCGAGAGAGCTTAAGCAACCACGAATTAATTAATTACTTTTGCTTTAAGTAGTAAAATGCGTAAAAATGGAAGCAACTATATAATTTTGACTTTGTACAGAGATGCTCCGGCCGAAGTCTTAATCACCCTCTCCTTTTATCGTGTTTTGACATAGCCTGCGAAAACATCCGTTTCTCCTCGCTCTTCACCGCTGCGGACGTTTCGCGAGGAGGAACGAAACGTCCCCAGTGGCCAAGAGCGAGGAGAAACGGATGTTTTCGCAGGCTAGTTTTGACATGACATACGCAAACAAGACGTAAATTAGTACCTCTTCCGTATGCCTCGAAATGGCTATGGTAGGAAAAGGAGCGAATTTTTTTCTCGGCATCTCAATCTATACCTCACCTCACCTCACGCCTCGCCGGTGTGGCGGAGCATATATCCCTTTGTAGGAAATACTCCCAGGGGGTCATTTATCGTAACTATGACGTGACTCCAACGGAGAAGCCGTTTCAATGCCCGGTCACGGAATGACAGCGAACACGAAATACGCGTCAAAAGGACAGTCATGTGAAGGAGGCTACCTCTTGACAACACTTAAGCATGGTACATTTTTTCTGTATGAAATTTGATTTAGGTACTCCTGAAGCAGCTGAAAAGGGTCGAGGATCGTCTAGCATATATTTTTTCCGCAGGATGCGGGATTAGCTACATTTCTAGCAAGTGTGATTCTGTGGGCTTGCCAGAGTATTTGATCGGGTACAAATTGTTGGGAAAGTGGGATTTTTGGGGGAAAATCGAGTGGAATTACGGGATCGGAAAACCACATTGTGGACCACAGTTAAAACAGGATAGCCCCGTTTGAAACGAAAAAACGCCGCCGGGCAGGCTTAGCCAGTAACAAAGTGTGCCTTGGACATTCATTATCCTTAAAACACCGCTTTTTTTCAGCGTAAAAATGAATGGCAAACCTGATTTCTCGGGTACATTTTTTTATATTTCCCCTTTCAAAATTTCCCACTGTACTGCTAACCCGGCACAAACGAATATAGCAGTACAGGAACTCAAGCCAAAACAAGTTTATTAAACTGCTGCCAAATACTGAGACTAAGAATAGTTATTTTTGTAGAACTCTCAAGGACTGGAATGCGTTACCAAGCGAAATTGTTAACATTAAGTTCGCAGATCGTTTCAAAAAAGTCTTACTTGAGTATTTTAGTCAATGATAAATTTTAATATTGCATAATGATCGACTCTGTGGAATTTTTTTTTATCCATTTTATCTTTTGTACAAAATTGTTTTTAACGTCATTACTTTTAATTTTATTTCATTTTATTTAGGCGTCTTGCGTGATGGTAACCCCGTTGCAGGACCATAGATTTTTGACTAAAGGTTGAATTAAAGAGCGGAGCGGCGGATTAGATGGGCTCGGTTTAAGATCTAGAGAACGTAACAAGCGTGATGATTAAACAGAGAAACAACAATAAATAAGATAATCCTGTTCTAATATCAACAGACTTACCTTAATCTCCTTGGTATGTCTGATCCTCTTTGGTCATTTGAATAAAAACAAGAATGTTATTTCAAATAAATGCCACGTTATTTAGTGGCATAGAGAAATTTTATTCTGCAAAAGTTCGGAAGAAGGATAAAAATAAAAAAAACAACATCGACTGGGAAAATGCGAAAGGTGAATGTTTTTGGGAGGCCTCACTTTGAAATGCACCAAAAAAATGCATGTAATTTGGATATATTTAGTGAGTTTTCTTGTTTCTTACCCTAGGGGCATTTCTCCTCCGTAAGAGTTATTTTTGTATGTATGGGTGGATCAAATGCGTCAAAATTGTGGTTAGCTGTAAAAATGTGTCTGTGGTTCACATTTCAGTTGAAAGGCACGAACCAAAATGTCCTCACACTCGGAGGATTATCGCAAGCAAATTTCCTTTACTGACTAGAGTGAATTAGTGGGTCGAATTAGAGGCTTTTGATTGAATATAATTACATATCCCGTACTAAAATTTTGAATATAGAAGCAAAGGCAGATTCAGCCATTAAAGAAATGTGCTCGTATCTACTATGTCGAAGTCACCCCGCGTCACTTGGCCAAAATTGAGAAGACTTCCTTTCACTTTCAGCAGGTCTGAAAGCCCACAAAATCCAAGACTTCTCTTATATTTTTCCACGTGAGAACGCACTGCTGATTATGAGGGTTAATTTAAACGGCTACATCTCAGTAAAGGATTTTTTCGCCACATCCCAGAAGCTAGAATTTACATTCCTCTCACAACTGAGCGTAGGTTTTGCCTTCGTCTGTCTTTCCACGGTGTCTTAACTTGCTTGCCAACTTCCAATTAACGTTAGTTAATTTCTTGGCATTACATTTTAGATAAGAAATGGAAGGATTACAGGCGCTTCTGGTGCACAGACCCTGGGAGAGAGCTAATCACGCGAGGTACAACGGCGGAGGAATGTCGAAGTTTTTGTGGCGATGGATGTGAGGCAGTTGAGTGGTGGGAGAATGGAAAAAATGCGTGCTATATCTGCAAGGATTTAAAGCTTCTCGCAGAATTCCCTAAACGACTGAAGAATGACCAATCCTTTCCACCGCATGTGTTCGTCAAGAGAATACGTATGTTTGAATTTGTGAGATTTTTGCAGACAAGGTCACGACCAATAAATTATGCATCCCTGCTATATTTCCTCGCGTTATATTTTCAGCTTTTCTATATTCAGTGACTCGAAAGATCAAATTACCTAAAAGTGAAGTGTGATTCGCGAATGAAGCAAAAAGTTAAGAGTCCGGTCCACACCCGATGTGGTTCGCACTTAGAGACTACGGTACTAGAACACTTTCAAAAGCCAAGGCACGTATTTACACCTTAATTTGAAAACTGTTGTTTGAGTCCCTGCCGTTTGTAGCCTTCCCTTTGCATTTGGAGGTTCTCTTTAAAGGCAAATGCTGACATTTTTTATACTTACCATTTGACTAAACCACACCCTTGGTTGTCAGGGAACCGTGCCGTTTGTTTATCTAAACCTCGTGATCTCTAAGGCAGAAAAGATAATGTCAAACAAACTGAAATTTTGTGCTCTGTTGTGATTCTTTTTGTGCTTGATTTGTTTTTTAGCTGGTAAATTCCTACCGCGAAAGTCAGACCTTATGACCACAGCGAAACCTTTTACCACCACTACTCAGGAAACACCGACATCTTCTTCATACAATGAAGGAACAACCATCTCAACAAAACCAGAATTCGCATCTCCATCAAATAGTCAGCAAACAACAACATCAGTTATCCAGGATCAAACAACGTTGCCAACCAAGGAATTACGAACTACCAAGTCACCTGAAAAGGACGGAACAACCGCACAACCTGGCGAGGACAAAGGAGAAGAAGATAGTACAACCACGTCACTTAAAGAGGATGGAACAACCGCCTCTTCTGAAAGAGCAGCCACGGCATCCGGAGATGAAGGAACAACCACATCACTTGAAGAAGTCAGTGCAACCACGTCACCTGAAGAAGGGGTAACCACACAACCTGAAGAGGAACAAATAACCACATCATCTCAAGAGGAAGGAACAACAACATCATCTAAAGAAGTCAGTGCGACCACATCATCTGAAGAGGAAGGAACAATCACATCACCTGAAGAAGAAGCAACCACATCACCTAAAGAGGAAGGAACAACAACATCATCTGAAGAAGTCAATGCAACCACACCATCTGAAAAAGACAGTGCAACTACGTCATCTGAGGAAGTCAGTGCAACAACATCATCATCTGAAGAAGCAACAACGACATCACCCGAAGAGGAAGGAACAACCACATCATCATCTGATGAAGCAACCACATCACTTAGAGACGCCAGTGTAACAACATCATCATTTGAAGAAGGAACAACCTCGTCAACTGAAGAGGAAGGAACAACCACATCATCATCTGATGAAGCAACCACATCACTTAGAGACGTCAGTGTAACAACATCATCATTTGAAGAAGGAACAACTTCGTCAACTGAAGAGGAAGGAACAACCACATCATCATCTGATGAAGCAACCACATCACTTAGAGACGTCAGTGTAACAACATCATCATTTGAAGAAGGAACAACCTCGTCAACTGAAGAGGAAGGAACAACCCAATCACCTGAAGAGGTCAGTGAAACCACATCACCTAAAGAGGAAGGAACAACCCAATCACCTGGAGAAGAACAATCAACCACATCACCTGAAGAGGTCAGTGCAACTAAATCGCCTGAGGAGGAAGGAACCACGTCACCTGGAGAAGAAGAAGCAACCACATCACCTGAACTGGAGGAAGGAACAACCCCATCACCTGGAGGAGAACGATCATCCACATCACCTGAAGTGGATGAAGGAGCGACCACATCGCCGGAAGACGTCAGCGCAACCACATCACCTGAAGAGGAAGGAACAACCCCATCACCTGGAGAAGAACAATCAACCACATCACCTGAAGTGGATGAAGGACCGACCACATCCCCGGAAGAAGTCAGTGCAACCACATCACCTGAAGAGGAAGGAACAGCCATCTCACCTAGAAAGGAAGGTACAACTACCTCACCTGAAGAGGTAGGAAACACTTCATCAGCCCCAACATCTCCAGCTGTAGAGGTGAGCGTCTTAGATTCTGAAAAAAACCCTTGCTTTAGAGCTCTTAACCATTGTTACGAGTTTTGACTGTTGAATTTATTAATTTACGCTACAACTAGTTGCAAAAGTACTTGAGACACTGTACTTTATTTAGGCTGAAATGGCCTGATCATGATCTTGTACTTGTGATCCCCCTCCACCCCTTATCAAAGTTGCTAGCAAAATAAGATCATGCTCAAAATGTGGAGGAACAACTTTGAATGGGAGGGAGAAAGGGAGGTCAGTATTATATCTTATAGACCTGTGACTAGCAGCGATTTAAAGTAAGAATGGTGGTTTTTTCGTCGGAATGTCTCACCATTTTTGCAACTGGTTGTAGCGTCAGATAGTCAAGGAACGTTTCCGATTTAAATTAAAGGCTGTCGAGTATATAAATTCCATTAATTTGAAACAGTGCTTGCTCAGATAGTATAAAAAAACCGTCTCGTGTTACATTGTTGATTTCGTTATGCAGGCAGCCTTCCCGGATACGCCCCGGAATGTAAAGGCCAAGGCTCTCTCTGAAACAGAGATTGAGGTAACCTGGGATTCACCAATCAGAAAGGGTCATGGATTGTATTACGAAGTCAGAGTTGCCGAAGTAACGGAAGGTATTTATTCATAAAAATGACTTTTCGTTTGTTCTTTTCCACCCTTCGTGCTCTTTGCGTCATATCTCTCAAAATTGCCATTTGCCCTACTATTTATGCGTTATCTATGATCAACAAAGGACTAGACTACGAGTAGTCTCTCTTTTTTCTTGTTCCGTCGAGCAAAACGCCCGAGACACGCAAATGACCACGCGCGTGACCGACTCGTTTCTTGCGTCTCCCGGCTTCGCTGCTAAACGCTCTTGCGCTCGTGCACTCCCCTTACTAAATCTGAAGAAAAAGAGAGACTGCTCGCAGTCTAACAAAGGACTAGCGGATGTAACTTCACATTTTAACACACTGTTGAATATCTCACCTCTATGCCATTTGAAATTCTTTATCATATAAATACTCTTCATATGTCTTCCCTTTAGACGTGGGAGTTACGACTGAACGGTTGATTCGAGTGATTCGAATGCCTGGAACCAATCCCAGCTTCGTCATTAGGTCTCTAAGCTCTGAGTCACAGTACATAATCAGTGTTTCTGCTGGAAATGATTACGGTCCCAGTGGCTGGTCAGACTTAATTTATAGCGAAACTCCAAAAGCTATCAAGGCTAGAACTGAAACAGCGGATTGCTCTGAAAAGAATGATACAACTAACGGAGGTAAATGCTTTAAAAGTAAACCAATGATTGAGTGTGAATAGGAGAATGAACAAAGAAATGAATGAACGAACGAATGAATGAATGAATGAATATTCTGAACGAATGGAGGCGTGAATAAGATCTTCGAACGTTTAGGTCTCAATCTAAGGAAACGTGTGTGTGCCTTTAGATAAGCTTAAAACCAGAATGTATCCAAAATTTCTTAATTAAAATAAAATGTGGACTGATGGACGGATGAATGTGGACTGGACTGTTGTGTAGACCGGAATAAATTGAAAAATAGAGGAGCTGATTAAATACAGCTACTTTTTCGATCAACCGGTTAAGTTTATACGGTGTCTTAAAGTGTGTAAATTGTCTATACTTTTAAACAGGGGAAATGCCATCTTGTGTGAATGTTGAGAAAGATGATAAAATCTACACGGTAAACGGGAGTTATGGCCGCTGGCCTGACGACGGGTTTTGCCGCACCCTGGTGGATTCTGCGGACGTATCAGCGCTTGACCAAATTGACGCTTACAAGATCTCCGCTGACCTATACGTGCCTGAAGTTAAAGGTTTCTTTAATGATGTTTATCTTGGTGTTTTGTTCAACGCTAAGGATGAGAACAATTTCGATTTTGTCTCATTCAGGTAAAAGACTTATGATAGAATAACGTTGAGGTTCTTATTCTTCATTTGTTTTGTGTCCCGTTCAGTTGTCTCCCTCGCAGCCGTTTTTGTCTCGTCACGCAACTCTCCTTCCCAACAAATTAACTAAGGAGCGTTACGTGACGAAACAAAAACGGCTGCGAGACTAGGGAGACTAACAGTTCAGCAGCTACCGATTTGTTATTTTTGTTATTCGAAGCTCTTTCATTGGCCGAATAATCTTGCGCCGTTTTTTAGCCGATCAGAAGAGACTCCACCTCTAAGCATGAAATTGCAGGAGCAGGATATGATGCTCTTAGTTGAACTAAATGTGATTGGCTCCTTTGAACCTCTGCACATTTTGATTGGGCAGATTGGAGCTTTTTCACATGACGTTACGGTGGCCATTTTGGTGTCCAAAAACAATAAAACGGTGGCCATGTTAGGTTTTGGAAACAAATCCTGTGGGAGTTGAACTCTTTCTTATTTGAATGCTGTCTTTTGTTCAAATACATTTACATAGATGTTGGCCACGTGTATGAAAACGCTCTATAGTCAACTTTATTTTACTGTTACAAAATTCGTTGGAAAACTTCTCCAATGGCTCATAGATTAAAACATGTTGAACATGGAAAAGATCACAACGGTACCTCCTTGGGAAACTTCGAAATAAACAGGCTGCCCAGAAGATTTCAGTAGCGCGTAGCAGATAGTGGAGGAGTAGAGCAATAAAAAATATGCCTAGAGAAGATCAAGGAAAGGCATGGAAGAGCTTTCATTAATTTGAGTATAGGCTTTTTTGTACTCAAGTAATAAATTAGAAATTTCAGTGTTCTTCAAGCAAGTAAAGAAGTGAAAAGAAGTAGAAATATCATCAATTCGCCACTTGCACATCTCCCATAATGTACCTTATTTGCCCCCAAAACTTTTGCATAACCTTTGTTTTTCATTTCTCCTGGGTATTGCAGCCGTCCCAACAGAAATTGAAAAGAATGCTTATCCAAAATCTTGGGGGGGCAAATAAGGTGCATTATGGGAGATGTTCAAGTGGCGAATATAGACTAATGACGCAGGACAGTTAGCGCCTGTAAATTTATTTCACCTTTAATGAACTGGTGCATAATTTTCAGGCGTACGCGATCGCTTGTTCCCTTTGCTTATGAAATAACTGATTTATATCATTGTTTTTAAAATCTAATCAGGTTTGGTTCAAGGGACAACTCGTGCTTTCAAACGGGCACAGCACGAAATGGTCAGGTAAACTGGTTTGGATCCCAATCAGGTTCATGTCCTTTTGGTCCTCCCGCTAAAGAACGATGGACGCGTACCGCTCTTGAAATTCGAGACTCCGAAATCACTGTCTTTCTCGACGATACGTATATAACTTCTTTTAAAGCTCATCTTCCTCCAAAGGCTGCTGGTGGTGTGGCAGTTGCCAATAACCATGGCAACGTGATACGATTCAAGGACTTCAGCATCACTGATTTGCCACTACTGCCATTTACTGACAAGAGTTGCGCTTCGTTGCAAGATCATAAGGAGTATTACTCAGTTATTAGCCAGAGTGATCATTGGTTCCAAGGTTTTTGCCGCGTTCGAGCTAAAGACTCTATTGGTCAAGACAGTCTTAAGGAGAATGAGACTAGTTACCAGATTTCGGTGGATTTATTTAGCGAGGTGGACTGGAGTGGAGATAGAATTGCTTACGTGGGAATTATATTCAACGCACGTGACATTAATAACGCAGACTTCATTTATTTCAGGTAATAAATATTATACTTAGCCACTTAAGCTCCAGAAAGCAATCGTCAAGAATGTTAGACTCCTCAAACCTCACTTAGGACGTGCCACCCACGTTGAACTCAATTTCATGCCTTGGCTCGCTTCATGCTTCCTCATTTATAACACCTATACGTTAGGATCAAAAGAACCACCTTGTACATCACAATAAACAGCATCACAGGAAAGTACTGCTCAGTAAATTTCATTTGAATGGTCGCACTATAGGATTTCTTTCACAGACTCAAAATTTAGAGTCACACTTTAGGATTTCATCCACTGACTCCTCAAACCCCACTTAGGACGTGCCACCCATGTTGAACTCATTTTCATGCCTTGGCTCGCGTCATGCTTTCTCAGTTATAACACCTACACGTTAGGATCAAAAGAATCACCTTGTACAGCATAATAAACAGTACCACAGGAAAGTACCACTCAGTAGCTTTCATTTGAAAGGGCCTAATAAAGGATTTCATCCTGAGACTCGAAAGTTTGAGCCACCATGTACAACGTAATAAACAATACCACAGGAAAGTACTGCTCAGTAGCTTTCATTTGAATGGTCACACTTTAGGATTTCATCCATGGACTCAAAAGTTTGAACCACTATGTACAGCTTAATAAACAGTACCACAGGAAAGTACTGCTCAGTAGCTTTCATTTGAATGGTCACAATTTAGGATTTCATCCACAGACTCAAAAGTTTAAACCACCATGTACAGCTTAATAAATAGTACCACGAGAAAGTATTGCTCAGAAGCTTTAATTGGTTACACTTAGGGGGTTTCGTCCACGGCTTCCATATCGCCCACATTACAAAGCTGTTTGATAAGCTAACGACGCATAAGACGCTTAGTTAAAAAATCAGCGATTTTATTTTATTATTTTTTTTTTTTTTCACACTAATGAGATATTTTACTTTTTAGGCCTTTCTGGAAAGACCACTGTTACCAGACAGGATACCTCTTAGCGGGGTATCAGATGCGTGAGGGTTCTAAAACAGGACCCTGCTCATGCGCTGTAAAAGGAGGAAAATGGTTCAACGTTCGTTTGGAGATTCGCGGCAACATGGTCACTGTCATCATGAATGACATACCCACAACGACATTTAAGTCGCATTACTCTGCGATCAATAAGGGCAGCGGTGTTCTTGTTACTGGCGGCCGTCGGATGGCCATCCGTTTCAGGAATTTGTTTACCTGGAGACTTCCACAACTTCCGTTCGTCTCTAAGCATTGTCAAAGCACTAGAGTTAATGAGATGCTTAGCGGAGATGTTTTCACATTGATGGCGCACAGTGGGGTGGAAGACCCCGAACACTCTAGTATTTGTCGAGCCCTGTTTCCTAAGGTTATTGCTGCTGACAGCTACGTCGTAAGCGTTAAAATCCAAGCTAAGGGAAGTCTGATGGGAGGAAAGTATGGAGTCATATTCAATGTTAAAAACGCTGACAGCTTCGATTTCGTGTCTTTCAGGTAGGTCAGCCGGAATCAAACAAGAGCAAAAAGGGTGCCGAAAGCTGGTTAGAATATTCCAGCCTTAATTCACTGATTTTGTTCCTTAAGCTGTGCTAATGGAGCTGATAAGGCTTTTTTTACCGGCTCAATCGATATCCACTGGAGAGCACAACTGGTTTCCTTTATACCTATCCACTGCATAGTGATTTTTCTAGTGGATAGCGCTAACCAACTTTTGAACAACTGGGGCCAGCCCCTCGCGGGATTGTTGTTTTAAATACTATCATCGAAGTTATCATCATTAACTGTATCATTCACCTATCAGTAACCTCTATGCAGACGCTAGGGAGGGGATAACAAAAGGTGGAGTTAAACCTACTGCTACGGACATTAAAGTTTTTTCTTGGCGTTGAAAAGAGAGTTGAATTTGAAATCCTTCCGCAGAGGAGGTGCCCTGGACTTTTGCTCTCCAAAAGCAACAAACGGTTATTTAACAATTGTTCCTGGAGAATAACTAGAGGCCAACTAGTTGAACAAAAATATGGAGAATAAAACAATTTTAGCTTGTTAAAGCTAGACTTTAATCCTTTTTTGCCGCCAAAAAGCCGGCGCTTTTCGCTACTAGGGGGCTATAACATATAGCCTAGTAGTAGCTCAACCAATCAGAATGCAGCATTGATAATAGACCACTAGCTGGATTTTACTAATGGCCTTTATTTTTCATCCAAATAACCCCACAACTTTTTGTACTAAAAAGATGATACCATTCTCTCAGTAGTGGCCAGTTACAACTTTTGTTTCTTTTCCAGGCCTTACCATCGAAGCAGTTGCGTGGAGGCTGGACACGTTAAAGTCAACAACGTAAAAGAATATTATACGATTAAATCCTTATCATGCTCATATGGAATTCTTAAGAGCGGAAGATGGTACGATGTTCGCGTGAAAGTAAGTGGAAGTGACGTCAAAGTTCTTGTCAATGACGTTGAAGTTGCTGGCTTCACAAGTTATTCTGAAGTCAATGGGCGCGGAGGAGTCATGGTGGCCAGCGGTTTTAAGAGGAAAATAAGCTTTAAAAATTTTCGTGTTTATAATTAGATAGCTACTCATACTGCAATGAAAAATGCAAGAATATTATAAGCCTGACCTATTTCTGAAAAAAATTTAAATTTTCTTATCGGTTCAGGACGCATCCTATGGACCAATTAGGCCTTGTACTTTTCTGTAGCTTGATTTCAGCTTATGTTTTTAAAAGTTATCCAATTATATATTCTCAGCTTTCCCTTTGTTCATGCCAGCGTTGTTATTTATATAGGGTGCCTTGCTTAAAATATCGCACAACCAAGTTATGAAATAAAATTTGCTGCCAGCAAATCAGTGACAACCTAACAGTGTTTTTTTTTTAATAACTTGGCTTAATAACTAAGACTTAACACGCGATAATAGACCATTTTACAGTTACAGGTGGAAACGAGGCTGGAGTTGTCTTTGTTTTCGTTCAACTCTTTCTGCTTTATTATGTAAATCATATCGTTCTTATGCTGACTAGTTTTTGTTAAGCATAATTATATTTCCATATGAAAACGAAAGAGATTTGTAGCCGGCAAAACAAGGTCAACCTCAGCCTCACGTTCACTCAAAAGCTTGGATACTAAACTCACCAGAATGGTCTATTATAAAATCGTTTCATTTTCATCTTGTTACCCCTTAGAGCTGGGTCGTTGAAAGGGGGGTTAAGATAACCCAGGGTTAGTGAGAAATTTTAATTCAGATATAAAAGCTTAAAAGCAAATTCAGTTTAATTCCTTTGGTCTGTATTTTGGTGATTGGATGATCTAAAAAGAATAGGGAAAATTATCCTTGAATGCTATAAAAATTTGGCCCCGTGTTAGCGCTAATCGGCCTTCAAACGAATGGGCCCTGAGGCCCGTTTCTCGAAAGTCCCGATAATTAACGGGCCCGTAAAGCTGTTGTTGTTTACATGCAAGATAGAAGTTTAAATAGTCTTGAATCTAACATGATAAAACTATCAGTCAGTGAAGCAAAATGGAGTATTTTGCTACTCAGGCCCCACGCCCGGTTCTTATTCTTTTTATTTCGATTTGAATATTTGATGTCAGGCCCGAAAAGTTATCGGGACTTTGGAGAAACGGGCCCCTGGTCACTTTCTTGTTAGCCGAGAAAGTCGGGTCCGCTGGGATTGAGAAATCGCGAACACAAGTACCTTTCACTTTTGCGTCTTCGCCACTATCTGAGAGCCTGGAACAGGCTTCTTTCTTATCCAAATAGAAAACAAGGCGCTTGACTGCGGTTGTATTTTTGTTTGCTTTTAAAATATTAAGTAACAATGTAAATTCTAACTTTCTTATCGGCGGTATGGGCCCGTTCATTTGTATTAAATAACTGCCTTGAAATATAAAAAATCCTCGAAAGAAGTTAAGGAAAAATTCTGGTTGCACTCCTGTTTATTACGTTAATTATATTGTCGTCATGGTGACAAAATTTCTTAGCTAACAATGCTGCCAAACACATCAAAGAAAACGAAGATCAAAGACTAATAATATAATAAAGATCTACCTTAAACGTGTACCTGCATCATGAATGTTTTTCATTCAATGATTTTGCTTTTTTTTATTTTGATCGGTGTGAGTATGTATTTTCTCCAAAGCTACAAAAGAGGTAAGCAAGCTAATTTTTTGTGTTGTCAGAATCTTTGTGGAATAAGAGCGAGGCCCGAGTTTATGATCACATTCGCAACTTCTGACCGATTTTCAACGCCTTGTCGGGAGAATAAACCAAAACAATAAGTTGTTTCTTATTTCAACTGAGCCCAAAACTGACTTTTCAAGAGCTATCTCTTCATCAGAGCGATTCCCTGGATCATGAAGAATCAGCTGGCGCTCAAAACTTCAATTCTCGAATTACTTCAAGGTAGCAGACTTACTGCGCACTTTATGAAAGCACATTTTGTGCCTTTTGGAGTTTAACGGTCCCATGGGAGAACTGTGTTCGTCTGCATACTTACGCCTGCTCCGGTTTCTTCAGAAACCGCTGTTCAGAAAACTTTCTCATTGGTCTGACTTGCATGACTTAAAATGTAAAAAGTCTCTGAATGAATCAGACTGAACTGAGACGAATTTGTTTTTCAGACGTTTTTTTATAGCTGCATATTTCTGTTTTTAGGAACTGGGTACTGTATTCATCCTACGCATTTGCCCCAAAAGTTAGGATCCGTCAGACGCAAAAGATAGCGACGACGCCTCGGAACCTACAGGAAACACGTGCACATGCGCACTAGGCTCTTTAATCTCGTCTTCCCTATAAAATCCCGCTCATGATTACATCGCAAATCAGCTGCCTTTATTTCTGTAAGTTCGCCAATTCCGTCTTTTCATTTTATTAGGCCAAATCACAGGTCTTGAAGAAAGTATTGGGGACCTTACTTAAGTGTAAACGTACAGTTCTATTCTGAACCGTGTTGTACCGGATCCGAATTTTGACACTGAGTACTTGAAAAGAGAGTGTGTTCGCATAGGTTCGTTCCCATCTGCCAAATGTAGACATAAATCAATATAGCCTTTGTCACCCCTTTCTAAGATCGTGCCGGTCTATCGTGTAAAGAGCGATAGTTTCAAACTATCAGTAACTGCTCTTTCCAGGAGTCTAACTGTGCATTACAGTGATTTCTAAGCGATTATTTACATATTTGACATTCACGTTTTTCCTCCAGAACTGCCTGAAAAATTGAAGCCCGGTTGGAGGAAAGATATATCGTCCATGAACGACACAATGGAAATGCGACTGCAAACGAGGAAAGAACTGGTTAAAGATTACTGTAAAAGACATAAGAGAAGAGACTCCTTATATGGACAAGATCTCCGCTATCACCTTGTATTTCATAAATCAAGAACCATTTATTGCTTCGCTCCAAAAGTTGCAAGCACCCAATGGAAAACGGTCTTGTCTGCTTTGAATGAGGGAAACAGGACTTTTCACCATGCTAGTGAGATCAAATTTGATCGCCTCAATGCATATCCTCTTGAAGAAGTAGAACAGATGCTTAAAACATATTTCACATTTCTGTTCGTTCGCAAGCCGCTTGAAAGGTTTCTGTCAGCTTACAAAGACAAATTTTTGCGAGAAAACGTGGTTTTTCACCAGGCGATCGGTAGGGAGATTATCAAAAAATTTCGACCTAACGCGACAAAGGAGGCGCTTGCAACTGGAAGAGGCGTGACATTCTCTGAATTCACGAATTATGTCGTGAAAACACGGCACCTAGATGAACATTGGAGACCATTTGATAAGCTGTGTCATCCATGTGCTATTCAATACGACTTTATCGGCCATTACGAAGACCTGGCAGAAGACGCTCGATATCTATTAAAAACGGCGGGAATTGACGACCGCGTTTCTTTCCCGCCATTTCGCCCGTCGAGAACCTCAACAGAGCTGTTGGTTTACTTTTCGCAGATTCCCAAGCTCATAATTTTGGAATTAGCAAAGATTTATGAAAGTGACTATGAAATGTTTGGGTATCGTTTCCCTGGGCAACTGAATAAGCTTCCCAGCTTTACAGCTCACAAATAGATCAACTCCAATTTGATCCTCTCGTCACGTGCCCGACACATTCAAATCAGACACCAACCACAAATTTCTGTAGCCTTGTAAAGGGGTCAACATAAGCAAAGCGCGTCCAAGTAAACTGATATATGGTTTTCGATTACTCTAATACTCGCAGAGATTTGTCAGCCAGTAGTAGCCTGCGCCCGGTGGGTGCACAAAAAGGGGAGCCTCGTCTTGCCGTTTATTTCCATATAATCCGTAAAGGGAATTCTTTTTGATTGGGTTTGCTCACAGAATGTGCTACAATAGTCTTAGCTTCTTAACATTAGACCTGACATGACTAACATGCTTTGATACTGAAAATTTAGATTAGGCGCGGGAGAGTGGTAGCGCTTGGGAATACTTTTAAAAAGGGATAAATTCAACACACACCTTTAAAGTGGTTTATTATATAGTTTCTTTTTTGTGGAAGGATAAGAATATACTCTCAGGATAATTGTTCATTTGACGCATAGCTCAAAATCATCATGATTTTAATGCGTCTATATTTTCTTGTGTTAAAATCAAAGTGAGCGTTTTGCAAAGTAGTTGAATGGAGTATTCTAAAGTAATATAAACATGACACTCAATAAAGTAAAGATGTGATTTTTATAATACCATGTACATGGACACTTTTTTCGCTATTTTTTATTTTTTATTTTCTTCGTTATATATGTCTTGCTGCAACACCAGGAGAGGTAATTTCAAAAGCGGTGAATTCAAGGTCCTCATCTCGTCACCTGCGAAAAATAAGTAAGATAAGTATAGATAATTATTTTCATTGCATTTTAAAACTAAAGCACAAGATTTTCTGAGAGTTGTTTGTGCTAGAAATGAATTAAAATCCGGAATTCCGCTAACGATTGGAATCCGGAATCCAAGTTCCAGTGACGTGGACGTGCGTGTTAAGCTCTCTAATTTATCCCTGCTGATTTGAGTACTCTCGGTACACTGAATGTGATATTTTGTCAGCCTCACCTTGAAGTCAACGAATGTATACTTTCAAGACGTCTGCACAGCCGACGTTTTCTAAGGCGAGAAAAAGGAAATGCGGTAATCAACGTTACAAATTATAAAAGGTAGGTAAACTGATAAATTTGAAACTCACATAAAATTTAGGGACCTCAGTGCAAAGACATGAAACATTGAATCTCGAGAATCTTATTTTATTTTTACACCACCGAAGAATGTCTTTCGTTACACCGATGACTTCTTATACAGTCGACTCCTGACAATTCGAATCTTTAAGGGGAATAGAAAAAAGTTCGAGTTATCGGGAATTCGAGTTGTCGAGGGTTCGAGTTACCGGGATTTTAGTGTATTAGTGTTAAAATTGCTCGACGTTAAAGCTTACCGGGAACGTTCCAGTTTGTAGACGTTTTAAGTTTGCTGTACAAAATGCTCGGTGCAGGAAATCGTTTTTCCCAGTCGCATGGTCCACTGCTTACAACAAGCCACCCTCCATCATTGCCACACGTGATTAAAGGTGTAGCAATGTAAAAAGACCGGTCTGAAGGAACATTGAGGCTGAAAAGAGCGGGTGGATTGGTAACGAAGTCTGTCCAAGGGGAAGAAATCACTCGACTGGCGGAAAACCAGTTTGTATTGTCGCTGTTTGTGGCATTGAAAACGATGGAGAGGACTTCGTTCTGACTTTCAAATATGGACACACGCACCTGAAAGAGAACGCATAACATCACCTGCCTCAGTACAGCGTCAATCAACAAGAAGTGCGAATAAACATCAACGACAAGAAAAGCTGACCAAAAGAAACGCAGCCACGAATTCCCATACTGAAACTGATAACACGACGTACGTTAAAGAACAGACTTAAAACGCGTCGCGAACTATGGTTAGAAGTACTAGTGAACGCTATTAAAACACCATAAGCGTACAAAAAATATATAAGGCCATCCCCTATTTTTCGTTAAGCGTCGAATGCGTTAGTCTTCTCTCTTGTCACCGACATATTAGAAAACGAGGAGACCCTAGGGACGAGGTTGGGTTGGGAAACAACGAGTCATGGACACAAAATCAATATGTCTAAAGATTTGATGGTCAATATCATCAGTGGCGGATCCAGGGGAGGGGCCCAGAGAGCCCACCCCCTCCCCCCCAGGAGCCAATCAAACCCCTCTTATGTTTAACCAAACTGAGACTCGAAGGGCCGTAAAAAAATTTTTTAGACCGGCCCCCCTCTTATCTCAGGGTCTGTATGAGAGGCCCCCTCCCTTATCTGATGGTCTGGATCTGCGACAGATCATAGTAAATTAAAGTAAACGATACACTGTTGAAGGGAAACGCCACAAATTTGTGTCGGTCGCATGACGCTAAACGGAAAAAATGGGGGAAATGTTCTGACACTGTAAATGCGTGTAACACACCCACCTCCTTTGGGTCAGCTGTTTGCCAGTTTTGTATGAAGCGGTTCTTGTAATGTTCTCTGGGAAACGAACTGGGGCTCAAAACTTCTGTATTGTCTTCATTTAAAGTATCCGCTGATGTCCACAGTGACTGGAGAATAGCCGACGACACATTACTGATAGCCTTAAACACCATGGTCCACCCTGAGGGAAGAGGAAAAAGCCTTTAAACTTTAATTCAAATAAAGTCAACATACTTTTCCCCTTCACATTCAAACCGTTCATCTAATTAGTCACAACCCTGTTAATATCTTATACATTTTGCCAAAGTTTAGTGTGTTTTTTCCTTCTCTCAGCAAAGCTGTAACACTCGGCATAGGATAAGTCTTCATTTTTTCTGCCTTTCCACGCTCAAGCATTCATTATGAATCTTTGCATAAGCTTGTGTTACAAATGTGATGTTCAAATTCATGGTATGGTGAAGGCTTAACCGAGATAAGAAGGACTAGGGATAATTTGCTAAACGAGTGAAAAACTGGGTACAATATGCGACCACAAATAATCTTTTGATGGTTTGGAAGGGCGGCATGAAGGTCAACAAACATGGCACATTTCAAGTTCTCTAAGCTCCAAACTCCAATAACAATTTCATATGTGTAACTAATTTTTACTTTTACAGAATTCTTTAAGAGACCCTGATGCATCCTCTCCTTGAGTTAGAATAACCCTGAGTGCTCGGTCTTTAATAGGTGGTTCGCTGCCGTCCGCCACGTTTTTTCTATCCTTCCAAACGATCTCTAAAGCCTTTGCGGACATTATTCGTAACAGTTCTCGACTGCTTTGGAACAAGGCTAATGAAGCGAGACTACACGGTAAATAGAGTAGATTTGACGGTCAAACGATTCAATACATTCGCGCTAATACCTCCTCCATTGCTGGTCTGGTCGCATGATACATTAAACATGTCTGTCTGGAAGGGCTTTATCAGGTGAATTCCTGACTTTTTGAATCCCGCGTTCAGCAACTCAGCACAGCTTTCATATGCTGGTGAGAAAAAATGGTATTAGTATAGTGAAAGCGATAAAGAGATAAACGGTTAAAAAATACTCCGTAAATGTTACTTAGACGAAAGTATAAAGAAAAAAAACGGAGATATGGCACCATTAAGGGGTTAAAAGCATTGGCCGATCCAGACCTTCAGATAAGGGGCGGAGGCGGTCATCTAGACCCTGATATAAGGTGGGGGCCCGGTCTTAAAAAAAACTTTTTCGGCCCTTCGGACCTTAGTTTGGTCCACAAATAAGAGGGGCGGGCCTCCCAGTTCCCTCCCCTTGGTCCGCCACTGAAAAGTGATTGGAGTTCCAAGGGATTTCCACTTACTACGAGCATAATGTTCAACTATTTGCCGCAAAAAGCTCTGCTAGCATAATTTGCACTTTTTGCGGGCTATTTTTGCTGGACAAAAATTTTCATTTTGTTATCAGAACTAGAAAGTGTGTGTGGCTTGATACCAGTGCTGCAGGCAAATTTCAGCAACAAAATCAAGTTTTTGTCTCCTTACTATCATATTCGTGGGACCTGGGTCCCACAGTAAGTGTCCTCTTCCTACATGATTCAGCGACATGCTGGAATTGGCAGGGATCAGTTAAAACATTTAACTGATCGGCCTTATCCACGTCCTTTGATAACACAGTTAACAATGCTGATTACTTACACACATTACAAAGCTTTCCATGATAGCCTGATGGACATGCGCATTTGAAGTCGCACTGGTTTTTGATTGGCTGGCAGGTAGCTCCATTCATGCAAGGGTTAAGCTCACAGGGGACCTGAGGAGAGAAAATGTCGTCAAGATTGTACTCACACACTCTTCGTAAAGAGTAGGGCACGTAGTGCCTGGTGAAGTGGTCTATCTCACTTTCACACTCATGTATGGGGGCATCATTACTCATTCCTTCATTACTTGGAAACTGCACCTTAAGCAGTCTGGCAAAGTCCCTCAGCCAATGTTGTAAATTATCCCTGAAAAGCCCTGAGGGGAGTGGATAATATGATATTTACATTTACATTTTACATTTACATTCTTCGGATCAAATCCACATCCAGATTTTTGAGATTCACAATCTGAGCGTTTTTTTGGAAAAGGATTTGAAAATAGTATTTTTGACAAGCGGTTTTTCGAGAAAAAAATGGTACGCAACCTATGTTGGTGGCGCCTTATTAATTTTGAGCCATAAGTGACATATCATTCCATAATAATCATCTTTATTGAGGAAACTTTTTCATAAAAGATATGGTTTTCAAAAAGGACCTCAAAACTAGATATATATTATAAAAACAAACAAACCAAAAAAAAAACAAAAAAGAAAAAGAAAAAAAATTCCATGTTTGTCATGTTTGTCATCTATTCAAATTAGACTGTTTTTAAACCCTTACTTGTCATGTTTTTTGTAGGTATGTAGTGTCTGCTTACGCCGGTGTATTTTCAAGTGATTTTAAAAACAACAATTCATCGGCTTCAGTTTTAAGTTCTTATAATTTTAAGGAAGTGTATCCCATTCGAGAAACATTTATGTTTGAAACCGAAATATATACATTTCGTATATTCATTCGTAGCTTATG